ACCACCACCACCACCACCAAGAACAACAACCGACTAGCAGCGCGAACAGCCAAGTATGACAGTGCCCCCAGCAGCCAAAACGGAATCCACGAGTGCAACAGCACATGCAATACCAAAATGAACAGCAACAAAGTTGCCGACAGAAGAGATGACCATCGTATCCTGTGATGCTCACGTAACCAAGCCGATGCTTGAAACTCGAAACCCTAAGTCCTAAACCCTTGCCTTGTATTGGTCCCGCCGCTTGGCCCAGGCAAGCTGGGCATCCTCGAAAGGTATGATCACAGCTTTTAGGGTTTACGGTTCCCGTCTTTTAAGGTAGGGTTGCCTAGTTTTAGGGTTTGGGATTTAGTTGATGCGGTCTCTTCAGCTGAAGTACTGAAGCTACACTGATGCACAGATAGGTAGTTCGATCAATAGATAGATCGACAGATGGATAGATAGATAGATGGATAGAAAGGTACATAGATAGGTAGGTAGGTAGGTAGGTAGGTAGATAGATAGATAGATAGACTGAGAGCCGGGCAGAGAAGAAAGGCTTCACGTGTGGTCATGCTGGAAGTGATACGAGTAGTAACGAGGCTGTAGTCGATTGTCTGATTGTGCTTGGTCCTGAGGTACTGACATTGATGCTAATGTGCTTGGTTGGATGTTGCTCGGTGACGGTGATGGTTGATGGTTGTTGATGACGATGATGGTGACGATGATGGTGACGATGATGATGGCGATGATGATGGCGGTGATGATGACCATGACCATGATTGTACGATTGATGTGATGGCGCTGTTGGTAGCCGTGCTAGTTAGTGATTGATGGCAATGACGGTAACGGCGATTGTCATGCAGTCGACAGAAGATGATAGTGCTGGTGCCGGTGACGACGTAATGATGATGGTGGCAGTGATTTTACACCAGACAGGCGACTAACTATCCGAAAGGCCACCGTTTCACTATCATCAAGCTAGATCCAATCAAGCCTGCCGCATCACATGCTGAACGCAGAAACATATGCACAAGTACCTTGACATTCGCACCAGGCTCCATTATAGTGCCTTTTTGTGGTTTCTAGTTAGTATCCTATACGGTAACGCCACAAAAGGAACTACAATGGAGCCCTTTGGGTAGTGGCTTGCTGCGACCCCTAATCCCCAATTCTTTAGCCGTGCAGCTCAGAGATTACCATTTCTTGCCCCAGACCCTAAACCCTAAACCCTACACCCTAAACCCTAAATCCCAAACCCTAAATCCTAAATCCTAAACCCCGAACCCTAATCCCTCGACCCCAAGATTCAAACCCTGGGCCGAAAAAGCTACAGGTCGAAATATGTCGAAACAATTATCCTCGTGTATTGTATTGTATACCTCGTATTACCGAAATAGGTATTCTATTGCACAATACACTCCATAAAACCCTCTGTTCTGATTGTTGAGGTCCCCTATAGTAAACCCTCAAACTGGGATCGTGGAAACCTCCTCCGTGCGCTGGAACACCTTCTGCCGCCATTCAGGATCATCCTCGGTTTCAGGGTTTAGGGGCTTTACGGTTAAGGGTTTAGAGCCAAGCTTAGGGTTTGGGGTTTGGGCTTAGGGTTTAGGGTCTAGGTGTAGGGTTTAGGTGTTTAGGGTCCAGGGCTCAGGGGTTTAGGGTCCAAGTTTAGGGTTTAAGATTTGGGATTAAGGGCTATAGTGCGTAGGATTTCGGGCTAGGGTTTAGAGGTTTAGGCTGTTGCCGACGGGTTCTGGAGCTTTGGCTTGTAGAGGGCTGGAGCAAGAAGGAGGGGTAACATGCGGTAAGGCCTAAGCCTAAAACTAAGCCCAAACAACCAAAACGACTCCGAGTGACCGCTATCGTCTTGAGTCGGTAGACCTGTCTTTTCGTTTGCTTGTATGCACTGATGTCATGTGTGTCTCTTGCACAATTATGTGTATATATGTATGTATGTATATATATATATATAACCGTCCGGACATTTATGAATATGAATATCCGAACCTTATGTAATGTAAAATATATACACACATATTCATGTACATATGTGGTTTGTGACAAACCTTTAACCAAATGCGAACAAACACGCACATCACAGAGAGAGAGAGAGAGCGAGACTTCAGCGCACGCTGTTGCCAGCACATGCTTCGCAAACCTTTGACCCGAAACCCTAAACCCTAAAGCCCAAGCCCTAAACCCTAAACCATAAATCCTAAACCCCAAGTCTTATAAACCCTAAACCGCCCGCCGTATTCTCAGTCGGTCTGCCGACGCCGCCAAAGAGTCCAAGTACTATTATGGTAGGCTCCTTAGGCCCCCGAAGAAAACCTTTCGAAGTTTATTCAACGGATCTAAGGGTTTCCCTTGTTACGGGGGTTTCTACAAGGGTACTATAAGGGTTCTATATGGGTAGTCTCCCTTGTAGTTCCTATTTTTTGGTTTAGCCAACTTTATAACTAGGATCCTATCTTAACCCCAAAACATGAAGTACCGTGGAGACCTGACCCAAAACCCTAAACTCTAAACCCTAAACCCTGAACCCTAAAGTACAGTGGAGACTTGACCCTAAACCCTAAACTCTAAACCCTAAATCCTAAGCCCTAAACCCCAAAACATGAAGTACAGTGGAGACGAATTGTAGGCACTGGAGCCCGGAAGGGGCCCTGGATTCCTGCCTCGGACGTTCGAGTGATTTCGGACTCTTCGACTTTTCTGGGGTCTTCAGAACATGCCTCGTGCCTACCCATAGGCCCCTAAGTACTTCCTTTTTGGGATTAGGGTTTAGGGTCTATAGGGTTTAGGGTTTAGGGTTTACCCATAGGCCCCTAAGTAGTTCCTTTTTGGGAAAACCTTATAAGGAACTACTTAGGGGCCTATGGGTGGACCCTCCACCAACTGCGGGCAGAAGTGCTCGTTCTTGTTTTCAGGACTTATCTCGGGGCCTATGATATAAGATAGACAGGGAAACAACATTCAAGCTCCTAGCGTATGCAGCGCTTGTTCACCGGTCGGCAAGCGGGTGTTTGCAGCACCAAAGCCATTTGGCTGTGCTGGCTGTGGTGCTACGCTGGCATCATGGAAGAAGTCTGTCAGAAATCCCAGCCGAAACCAGCGCTTGTTCACCGGTCGGCAAGCGGGCGTTTGCAGCACCAAAGCCATTTGGCTGTGTTGGCTGTGGTGCAGTGCTGTCATCATGGAAGAAGTCTGTCAGAAATCCCAGCCGAAACCGACTTCCGGTCCCGACGTTCCGGACGATGACCAGCGGTTCTGTATCGTAAGCAATAACTACTTGACAATAGCTGTCTCACAAGTCTCTACCTGATTTACATTCCAGGAAGCCTTTGTCGGGCTTCATGTAGTCTATGTTGCCATGATGAATCAATCCGCCTTTCAGCTGCTCCAGTGGTGGAAGCAACTTCTCCGGCAGGGATCTCCACAACTTCATCGGAAGGATACACTTCGTGTCTTTGGTGATGTCAAGGCACGTCTCTTTCAGCGGCTCGCCGGGAGGATTGCTGTCTATGCACCACGCAGACTCGTTTCCTGTCCCTGGCTGCTTCAGACGGCAAAGACAATGCTGCTGCCAACTTAAGAAGAGCGGAGGGCGGCATGGTAGGGTATTGTTGTTCATGAGGCAATATGGAACTGTGCCCAGACAAACATCCTGACTGCTGATGCCTAGAAAAAAGAACACTACTAGACTACCGCAAGCAACAACGAATGTTGAACAAACAAGCTAAAAAGTGCAGCGAAGCCTCAGGGTGCAGCATGCCGTGGCAGAACTCCGACCTACTCCAACTGCTACTCCAGGCAGCGTGGTAGAGGTCATAATGCTTGTCCGGCTGGAGGATCAAGGGTCGAGTCGTGGGGCTTTGCCTCAGCCCAGCTGCAATGATGTCCGCATATGTTGCCCAATTTGTGGTAAGCCCGTTGTCGGCAGAAACCGGCTGTCCAAGAATCATGTACTTATGCCGCGCAAAAACGCGTCCGGCCGCATCCACATCAAAGCAATGCCGGAAGCATTCGTCTGGGCGGTGGCGTAGGACAATCGTTCTACTAGCATCCATCGCAGTCTGCGGCAAGGTCTCTCGAATGACGTGGGCAATAAGCCAGCAGCCATACCAATGGATAGGATAGTTGTACCTGTATCCCCTAAGTATAGGGTATAACCCCCCAAAACCAATAGGCTTTTGGATTTCCAGGTGCCACTTTTCGAGAGCAAGGCCGTGTCGAGTGATTGACATAAAGCCGAGGCGACCTTCGAAAAAACGAAAGTCATCTTCCAATAGCTCCAGTGGTTGGCTTTGGCTTTCTTTGGAAGATGAGAGCAATGTGACAAACCAACAGTCTCCTGCTGAGCGACGAAGCATGTCCAGCATCGTGGGTCGCACGTACTTCAGGGACCGATATAGCCCAGAAAGTATCAACCAAACCTTTGGCACGCAAGTAACATTGTATCTTGACATGTTCTCAGCATGCAAATTGTGGTGTTGAAGCTGGATGCTGGGTGACCAATGCTTCAAAAACTTGGCCAAAGCCTCATTCGCGGCGGCTGCCCTGGATGTGGGTGCAGATGTGGTTGTGGCAGCACCACGCCCCGCGATGCTTAAAACGGCAGGAGGCGGGTATGGAGGCACCAACACCGGCATGGATGTTGTCGTAGTTGCCACGGAGATTGCATCCACTGCGCTCCTGAAAACGGCAGAGAATGGAGGCACCAACATGGACGTGGATGTGGTCGTAGTTGTCGCGGAGATTACCAGCATGGGCATGGATGAGATTGCCTCCACGGCGCCTTGTATCCGCAAAGCTCCTAAAAACCGACGGTCTCCGAGATTGCGCAACCTAGGCTGGCTAATGCAGGATCCTTAATAATTTGAATTTGCTTCTGGGCTTCTTTATCGTATTGTATTTATAATAAGGAACCCTATAAGGCATGATACTGGTACGTAATGTTGAGGCTCCTATAGTATGCGGACGGTTGAAGCAAACCCTGACCTGTAAGCGACCTACTTGTAATCCTACTTGTCTGCAGTCATGTTGAGGAGGAGCCACCTCCAAATTCCAGTGACAGAAACCACTGCCGATGCCGGTAACCGAAACCAATTGGGCTTGTAACGCAAACATGGAGGCAGCAGACCTGTAATAGGAAACCAGGCTGCTTGCGCTTTGTGGTGCGTCCTACCCTATCCTGTTTCTACCTTTCTGCAAATTCATACCCTGTTATCAGCGCGCTCTCTACCCTTACAGTTTACGTTATTGGTGCGATCCGTTTGCTTCTTGGTGCTCTCTACCCCCATCCAGGTTCCGCCTGTGCTTCCTGGTGCTTCCCGCCCCTGTGCTGCTTGCAGCAGGCATCATTAACCATAGGCCCCTAAGTAGTTCCTTTTTATGGTTTATATTTAGAATCCCATACGGTAATCCCCAAAAAGGAATTACTTAGGGGCCTGTGGGTACTAAACCCCTAAGGCTTCTACCCAGTTGTTTGTCTGCTGCGTGCCTCGTTGCTCTTGCTCTGTGCCTGCTTGGTTTCTGGCCGATCCTTTGGCCCGGTTTCCGGTAGAAGCTCGCTGTTAAGCGCGCGATTTTATCAAGTGGTCTTCTCGAAAACAGCAGGGTTTATAAGGTTTAGGCTTGTGCTTTCAGGCCTACCACGCAACCTTTCCTTATGCAATCAAACGAGTGTCTACTGCGCGTGCTTCAGAGGCGTGGCCTGCTCTGCGTCAGACTGATGCATTGCGTATGTAATGAAATGATTTTCTTATATACTATACACAATATAGGAACAGATCGGACAGTCTTCTGTGAAGGCTGATCCTAAACCCTTAAGCCTGAACGTTTAACAGCTTCCAAGCAGCACGGCATAAGCAGTAGAAAGCAGGACAGCTGAAAGTAGGGTGCAACAAGGTATGCTGAACTTCGGCATGGATGTCAGCCTGGACTAGGACCATGGACCCTGGACCATTGCTCGCTTTGGAGATGGTAACGATCACACTCAATAAATCTGATGTCCCTAGAAATCTATATACGCTATTCAGATTGCTCACAGTTGGAAGGTTTCGCTTCCCGTCTGGTCGCACAGATCGAAACCACACGACCCGCTGAGACAGGATTCAAGGCTCTCGGCTTGAGCCGCGGTCGAGCAGATCCGGAGCTTGTCCAATGCTCAGCGCTTAACCTGTTAGCCCAAGCCCTAAAGCCAAAACCCCCAAAACCCAAAACCCCAAATACCTAAACCCTTAAACCCCAAAACCCTTAAACCCCAAAACCCTAAACCCTTAAACACCAAAGCCCTAAAGCCCTAGAACCCCATACCCCTAGACCCCTAGAGCCCCATACCCCCTGTATCGCTCCTCGTCAGAATCGCCCTCTGCTGAGCGCTTCAGGGCACGCATGGCAGCAGAATCCAGGGGAGTGTCCTGTCCCGGTTTAGGTTTTAGGGTTTAGG